ATGGCTCCGTCCACGGAGAGCAAGGGATAAGGTAATGTAAAAGGTGATCAAATACCAAAAGTTAAAGGATTACACGTGCATAGTGTTTTTACCGTGCATAGCCTATACCCGCGCTTTCTCTTCTCACTATGCGAACTGCGCTGATCTCGTCTGCAGTCGCATCTACCGCACTTATGGTCCTAGGCTACGCGGCCTTGTCACGCTCGTTCTCGTATCGACCTAAGAACCAACTGCTGACGACGTCGCGGGTACCTCTGCTCTTGTCACAGCAAGGGCGTATCATGGTCGCATCTCCAATTTTTGGGGACGTTCTCGTGACTCTGAGGTCTCCTCCTCGTGTGACCCTTCGGATATAAATATTCATCGTCATGGACCTCCTGGCTGCCGCCAACATTTCCAGCAACATGCTGGTCCTATCTTTCACATACTTTGGCACACGGGCGACAGTTTTTCTCCTAAAAACCACAAATGACATTCCATTTTTGCACAATGAGCCATGCCTTAGGACTTTTTTTCACTGTCTATTCTTTTTGCTCAGTTACACCTGCTGACTCGTGGTAACTGACATCATCACATGTGAGTGTACTACTTGAAACAAGCGAGTAGTCGCCGACAATTATGTAAACGATTTCGTTGAAATGTTCGGCTGTGCCGATGCATTTCTTAACTACTATGTACCAATAGGGAGTTCACATTTGCTTGCATAACTTCCCCTTAATAAACTTGACTTGACTTAACGATATCCACATCTGTTATGCAGACAAGTCGGCTTTCAACTTTTCAATTTCCGTTTCTTCACACGTGAGACAGCGTGCTGGGAATGGGAGTACAGAGTGCTGATATGCCGATGTACGGCAAGACATATGATGGAAGTTTCGATGCATATTACGGGAAGACTTCGCAGCCATTAGTTCAGAATGGGGAAGATGAGCAACCTCACCGAGGACGCGATCAGTAAATTGATTGACTATTTTAAAATGTCGCTGTCAGCTGGAAAAAAGCATTGGTAACACCGGCAGCTGAAGAGAGCATTCGGAGGATATGTTTAAAAATGACCAGGTATTTTTTAAGTAAAGCTGCAATAATGACTGGAGAGCAGTAAAAAATGAGGAGGAGAATGCAGGCGTCTATAAATCGCCAGATTAGAGCTTGCGGTGTGCGATATGACCGCAAACGATGGATATAATATAAAAGGTTAGGGATTATAATAAAAAAGGCCTTTAATGTGAAGAATAAATGAGAGTTTAGATGCCAGAGTAACACCAAGCTACCCGAAAGAGCATACTTCGTTGGGTAGAATGTCAATGGATTCAGGAATGAGAGAGGGTCGTAGTCGGAAAACACACTGGACTGACTTCTGGTCGTTAAACAGAAGGCTATTTAAGGACGACCGTGCTGAGAAGCGAACGTTAGTAAAGTGATTATGCATGAAGATATTGGAAGGAGTAGTAATTGTCATTCACAGCTTGCTTCGGCTGGTCTAACAGCCCGTCTGAGCGAGGCCACATTAAGATGAAAAAGAGATTTGGCCTGTCTAAAGGCACCCTTCTTTCAACATCACATTTAAAGAAGGCGTAGTTTGCTACCAAACGAGCACAATAACTGCTTTTTTCGTTTACGTTTCCATAAAATGATAATAATGATAAAATGATAAGAATGATAAAAATGATAAAATGATAAAAATGCATAATACTTAGGTAGCCACTTTGCACTACATGCGTTTTTCTAGCGGTCGGAAGGAAGTTCGTTAGAAAGCCAGCATCGTATTGTGACTGAAATGACTTTAGAATAGGCTACACGATAATCAGTATTACAACGTTACCCAGTGCGGATTAGCCAAAGAGTAACAATCTATCACATATATCAGCATGTTAAACGAATTCTACACAAACTTTCTAGACCTGCTGCATCGATGGCTGGCATGCAGAAAACAGAAAGTTTGTATGTAATTCAACCTACTTAAAATTTGCAAGTAGATGGTCATAATACATAAGGATCTTTCAAAGACCCCAGGAGGAATTCTTACCTGCTTTTTTGGATAGACTGAAAGACAAAAGGCTGCTCGTGCGGACCTCTAGAAAGGGCATTCCATAGCAGATAAGACAGGCCACTAAGACTCCAGATAACAGCATGTTTAACCTGCACAGTAAGCCAACACAACTTGTTGCTTAAACAGGATGCATTAATGGATTCTGGCAGAAGTTGTTTGAATGGGAAAGCGTTTAATGTGGCATGCAAACACTTTTTTCGCAATTATTATTAAATTCTGCCCAACCCAAACATTATTCGTACATTTGCCATGATATGCTTGAATGGATAGCACATTTCCGTAAGCGGGGTGCTATTTCTAGAAAACACTATAAACATTTTAGTCGTTACATTATGCATGTACGATATTGCTAACTTGTAGAAAAACGTTGAATACATTTTTCCTAGTTGGCGAACCAGGAAGCCTCGATTTCAGCATGAAGAGATGATGACAGGACTACATGACTACTGCAGTGAAGAAGAAGATTGCACTGCTCATTGCTTTTTAAAAAACATTATTATTAGTTCAGTCTTATTGTTCCTTTAGCTTCAATTTGGGGTAGAAGGGCAAAATTGTATATTACCAAGGAACCTCAAACTTGCCGTCTTACAGCCGCTAACTATAATAGCATTCTGAGCAAAAATAACAGCTAATACGGGAAGATGTCTTCCCGTACTGTATATATATATATATATATATTCACTCAGAAATGTGCGAACACCGAT